AATTGAATAGGATAATGATTACTTAATAAATAATTCTTCAATTTTTAATATATAATGAAATGACAAAAGTTTATTAATAAAAATCTTACAAATAAAAAGTTATATTATCAAATGTATTTAAAAAATGTTAATATAGATTGATTTGGTTGGTCAAGTTAAAAATAAAATAGTTTAAAAAGTCAACTACATTGAATATTTCATACTAAGAAAACATGGAATGGTTTCTATTAAAACAAATATTAAAATACTCAATGTTTAAAATTTCGATCAAGATCTTTATAAAATATTTGAAATTAAGAAAATCTTGCCAGTTAAGCTAAATTTTAGGCATTGTATCTTACAAATAAAGTTAAATATCAAACGTAATAATTATCTTTCCTTTAATATTGAAAACCAATTTTTTCTTTTATCAACTGAAAAATGAACGATGTAGATTAAATCTCTAAACCTGATTAACATATCCGTTTAGTTAGTTAGATCCGCGTGTTAACCCAGTTAGAAATATAATTATTTCATTTTGAAACTATAGTGTAAATTCATTGTGTACTTCAGCTTTAATAGTATAGATTAATGTAAGATACGTTAATTAACATACTATCTATAATGTTGCTTTAATAGTACTCTAGCTCTCAACGTATTAGGCTTTCAATTTTAGGCCCGTAATAATAACCCAAGGCGCTGACATTATATAAAAGGCATGGCTCACGGTATTAAACAATATGGTATTAGATAAAAGGTTTTAATGAAGCCAAACTGAAAGTCAACTAGAATTTTAACAAGCTACGAGAATAACTTTTCTTTTTTTAAACAAGCTACGAGAATAATTTAGATCCGAACGGTGACAGCGTATTTAATTATGCCGGAAAAACGGTTTTAATGTACGGTACAATTCAACTGTGGTATTTAGGAAAAATAAATTTTGTGGGATAAGTACGGTTTTCGGTTTTTTTGGACCTCTAGGTAAAATATACTTATATTTTAAAAAGTTGTTTATGCTTATATATGTTGGTAAATTCCACAAATCTTTTTTTCTTTTAAAAAACACTAATAAAAAAAATCGGATTGAATAGTAACATATGTGCGTTATTACGGTGTGGGACGGAAAACACCCCGCTTTTGCTTTTGAGTTCACCATTCGGCCTAACTTATGATTACTTATTACGTATTAGGGAAAGGTTATACTGCATGTGACTTTTGAGATTACAGCATTGACCTGCATTTATTTGAGGTGGAGGCTTATCTTGCAAAAAAAATTATTTGAATAGTTTTTTTTGCACAAACCCTAGTTTTAATATTTGAATGTCTTTGTGTTTAATGGCAAGACACACACCACAAATGTTGTCTCGTAGGAAGAGCTCGTGGAATATGAAGGCGGGCTCCGATATTGGTTTCACCATAACGCACGAGTTTATAACTTTTATATAGCATTTGTTGAAGATTTTTTTCTTATACAAGGAAAATAAATTAATTCAATTAACGTTTACTTTTATTTATATTACCATATTATGAAAAATCTGAAGCATAAATGATTGTAATATGTTGTAATTAATGTATAAAAACCATCAATCAAAATAAAACTCATTCGGTTAATTGATTTTGATTAGCTGTAATGTTGTATATGTATCTTTAAATTTGATTATTATTTCAAGTTAAGAAGCTATATTGACATAACTGAGCTAAGCAAATTCATCCAAATAAACCTAGATTAACTAATGATATTCGCCATTCTAAAGAACTACTAAAGAAAAAAATCACAATAACTGAATTTGTCAATAACCGATCCATTTTATGTTTTGGTTAACCGCAGAACCGATTCAACCAAACCAGACGAAACAGCCAAACCAAAGTCTCATGACTATGTAGAACTTTAATTTGTTAGAGCACTGTCATCCTCATAAAATTAAATTTAAAATTTTAATTATTTAATTATTTTTTAAATATTTTTAATGATTAAAAAATAGTTTCATATGTGAATTGAATATCAAAAATGTTCGAGAAATTGATACCAATAACCTTTTTATGATACCCTCTTTTAAAAATACCCTCTTTTTTTACCATTTTCATTTTTGCCCTCTCTTATATTTTAATGGTCATTTTACCCCTATTTGAAAGAATATTCCTTCCTTTGGGAAAGAATATTCCATCCAAAATTTTTTCCCCCAAAAATTTCCCGCCAAAAACTTTCCCGCCAAAAAAGTTTCCGAGAAAAAATTTCCCGCCAAAAAAGTTTCCGCAAAAAAATTTCCCGCAAAAAAAAATATTATTTCAAAATTTTCCAGCCAAATTTTTTTAAAGGGTTTACAAGGGTTTTTAAAGGGTTTACAAGGGTTTTTAAAGGGATTTACAAGAGTTTTTAAATGGTTTTTAAAAGATTTGTAATGGTTTTTAAAGGGTTTTAGAAGCCTACAAAGGTTTTTAAATGATTTACAATGGTTTTTAAAATTTTTTATAAGTTTATAACAGTTTTAAAAGGATTTACAAGGATTTTTAAAGGATTTTAAAAATTTACAAGGATTTTAAAGGTTTTTTAAAAGGATTTACAAGTGTTTTTAAAAGGATTTAAAAGTGTATTTAAAGGCATACAAAGATTTAAAAATAGTTTTAAAGGATTTACAAGAAGTTTTAAAGGGTTTTAGAAGTTTACAAAGGTTTTTAAAGGGTTTACAAAAGTTTTTAAAGGTATTACAAGTTCTTTAAAATGGTTTTTAAGGATATACAAGGGTTTTTAAAGGGTTTTAGAAGTTTACAAAAGTTTTTATTAAATGATTTATCACGGTTATAAGGGGTTTAAAGGGATTTACAAGTGTTTATAAATGTTATAAAATGATTTACAATGGTTTTAAAAGGTTTACTCAAGTTTTGAAAGGTTTTGGATGACTTTTAAATGATTTACAAGGGTTTTTAAAGGTTTTTTAAAGGATTTATTAATATTTACAAAGTTTTTTTAAGGAATTGCGGAAAAAATTTTGTCGGAAATTTTTTGGCGGAAAATTTTTTTTGGCGGGAAATTTTTTGCCGAAAATTTTTGGCGGGAAAATTTGGCGGGAAATTTTTCGGAAGGAATATTCTTTTTGTTGGAAAGAATATTCCTTTCTTCATCATGGGTTATAATAAAGGAGAGTAATTTAGTCATTTTGTACATTGAAGAGGGTATTTTTAAAAATGGACACCTAGAGAGTGTACTTGTAGAAAATGGTATCATAAAAAGGTTAGTTGTGCAAATCTCCCAAAATGTTTCTTGTTTCCGAAACGTTACTCATTTAAGAAACTGACAAATATAAATTGAATTTCACAAACATTTTTGAAACGAAATGTTACTCGTTGCAGATACGGTTCTCCTTCTCTCTTTTATTATGATTATGATTATTATTATTTCAATAAGGTGTTTCTACTATTGAAATCTTTATATAAATGCCCTTTAACTTTAAGACAACCAAACATGATAAACTCATCTCACTCTCTATAAGAGCGATAACTCCAAAGCTGTGGTTGCTTCCACCCACAATGCCAAGTGAATTGGTTTCCTCATCCATAGGACAAAGTTCAAGACTAAAGATCTTTGTTATTATATTCATGTTCTTGGGATGTGATTTCAAACCAATGCGCTTGGTATTGTTAGATGCAACAATTACAGCTTCAGGTTTGTCGTCTTGGTGATAGGAAAATATTAAGGTGTCATGCGTGAATAAAAATGTAGACTTCCTAATCAATCAAGATAAAAAAACTTGTAAAGTTGTGTGTCTTGTTATATGTTTTGATTTGTTGTGTTTTCCAATTCATTATCTTCTGCTGCTAGTGCTAGTGATGCACTAGTGAAGCTCTCATCTTCCGATCAATTCTGTTGAATATAGCATGAAGAAGAGGACTGTACCAAAGTGTAATAACGTAACTAAATTTCTCATGCCCAAAGAATTGATCAGAAGTTTACTCATGTCTATCTCATATTTCCTAGACTCTTAAGTATATAATATATATGTACCAATCATGTGTATAATATATATGTACCAATCATGTGTACTTTGATTCTTTTTTTTTTAAATGTCTGAAAAATCAAATTTAGACTTTTTAAATATCAACTTGATCCAGACCCTGAATTGTTTATCACTCTCTATGCTTAGAGTAAATTTGAATCTCTTTTCTGATTTATAACCGAAGTTTGTAGCTTTGAAACACAACGCATACAAAGAGCATGTGAATCCAAATTATACATTTGTTGATTTTTTCTTATAGTAGTTGATTAGTTTCTGAATTTTTTGTGACCTTCTTCGGATATGGATTTGAATGGTGCAACTAGTGATACCAAAATCTTCTTATGACACTTTAAAATCATTGCTATTTATATTCTTAATTTGATCATATATGATTCATATTATTTAAGGAATGTATTTGTTCTTAGGTTGGTTATCTTGGTCTTTAGGTGTAAAATGATCCGACCCTATTTTTTTTTATTCATTAACTAATAATCTCATACTTATTAATTAACGATTTTGAATTAAAATATCAGCAACCAATGGAAATTGTATCCAAGAAAGGTGTTGTATCCTACATAAGCATTGTTGTATGCCACTTGACAAGCTGTTACCAATTAATCTGCATTGTCAAGTGGGAAGGTTGTTAAAGGGTGAGTACCTGGGTTCGAGTAATGCCAGGCGCACCAATAACCTACCTGGTGGGCCAGGAGGCTGCGAGCAAGTGGGCTGCGCAGTTTGGGCCCACATGAGAGAGGTTAGGGTCGATGCGCTGCAGCGCTTGTAGCTGCCATGTGGCGGGGTGTGCCATGTGGTAGGGGTTCCCACCGGGATGGGTTGTTACACGTTGTCAAACTGTTACTTTGGATGAAAATGTCTACTTCAACCACAATATTAGCACTCATTGCACATATAATTTACCAATGAGGTTATAAATTATATCAATTTGGTCAATGGAAATCTTTCTACGAAAAATTAGAAACCAAGTATTTCTAATTATAAATGTTACAACAGAACACAAAAACCAATATATAAAAGAGTTACTTAATTGAATGAATAAAAAAAAAGGTAAAAAGCTGAAGAGCAAATTCAATATTTAGGAAGGTTACATTCCTTGGGGAGGTTATTATTGAACCTTCCATAATCTTGGCAATAATCATAAATCAGGTGATACTTTCTCACCCATTTAAACCATCTCTTTTGCACTCTTGTCAAAGAACTGAAATCATCCTTGTTCCACCAGTTCTCATTGCTCTCTCCATTGCACAATCTTGGGTTCTCTTTCCAAACACAAGCATCTATTTTGTAATCTCCAAAGGATGCCACGAGTGGACCCTTTGACCAATCAATCTTGTCATGCCCACCGCGCGTAGCCCAGCTCTCACCGTTCCATAGACTAGCCTGTACTTTCATAGGTTGCAACCTTGGGTAGGCTACACCTTTATCCGCGTGGTTTCTATACAATCTTATCGGAACCTGATCCACCATAAACCTAAAACCAACAAAACAACATTCTTATGCATCTTAAAGTACATAATAAGAGAGAGACTTTGGTTGACGAAAACTTACACAATTTGGTGAATGTTCCATAAGATAGAGTAAGTGTGAAAGTCCTTCGTTGGGTCGAACCAAAGATGGATCCTCTCTTCGCGGTTATCAACTCCCTCAGCATAGACATTTGTCTGAAGAATGTAAGGCTGTCCGTTAACGTTTCCAAGGAATTCAAAGTCAATCTCATCTCGCTTTGGCTGATCTGAGGTCATCTGTGTTGAATCATTGAAATAATGAGTTCATTCATGTCTACCTATTAGGATAATAGAGAGGTAGAGAAGTTTCCTTACATAATAAGCAACCACAGTTCCTTGAGAACTTCCCGGGATAAGTTTGATCTTCATATCTACTTGCCCGAACAAGAACGTCTTCATGGAAGCAAAGGAAGCTCCTATAAATAACAAAACATAAGTTCTTGCTACTGGAAAAATTAAAAAAGAAGAATGTTTAAATATATACCAGATTCTTGATCGAGCTTGAGGGTTCTTGATCGACCATCATTGGAGGTGTTAACATGGGAAGGAGACCATGTCACGAAGAAGTCTTTGTTATAATCTCCCGATGAAACAAGGGAAGCTTGTGAGACACATAACATCAAACTTGAGATGAAGAATCCTATGAGAAGTATTAATGATTTTGAGCGATTTATAACTAGAGTCATTTTATTATAAGATGTTTTAGGTTGAGTACGTTGGACATATATGACGATCATTGATCAATATATATAAATATTATTGTATTGCATGAGAAAAGTGTTTAAAGTAAATTGTGTTCCTATGCAAAGAATATCTTTGAGGAGAAGCAAAAGCTAGAGAATATGCGTACGAATGTTTTTCTTTGTTTCTTTTTCGAAACGTAAGAATGTTTGTTTGTTATCTTCCTTACAATTCATAACTTATTATGTTTTATTTTAGAAATATATTACATATAATCAAATTTTATTAGACAAAGATTTACTTACAAGATAAATAAAAATGATCTCCATGTAACCTTCAAAATTTTTTTGTCTGTTTATTTTCAATATATGTTTATCGAATTAACCGCTGAATGAATATTTTAGATTTTTGAGTTGTTAAATTTGGAATGATAGGAGTTTTTGAAGTTTTACTATAAGAAATAAACTTTTATTTACATATATTAAATTTCATTATATTTAAATTAATTGTACTTTCATATTGTGATACTATATACCATATGAACATGACACCATATTATTATTATTTTTAATTAAAACTGATGCCTTTTTGCATAGAATCACATAATCATATCTTGACAGATGAATTCTTTTAAACCATTGCATATTGTAATGGGTGGTAAGAAACCAATTAGTCCAAATTGTTAGATAATATACTAATTACCAAGACCGTAATTAAGTGTTTGGAAAAAAAATACAAAGGTGTAATTTCCCATTGTCAAGTGGTGATCAAGTGTATACGATGATCAAATCCGTAGAATATCTTAATTTCTGATTTTTGTGTATGTCATTGTTTTACTTACGTCATACATGTGGCGGCATGTATATTTCACGACTTTTCAATTATAGGCAAGAGGAATAGAGATATCACATGCATGAAACACTAAAAGACATTTCTTAATGACTTTTCGTTTATTTATTTTGATAATTGCTATGAATAATTTTTTTTTGTTGGCTTTCGATTTTCTGTTTTGTATTTCCAGTTGTTTCTCTTAATAAGTTTTAGTTTCCAAGGACTTTCTTTCATTCGCCGGCTTAGTTTCTTTTGTTTGGACTTTAGATTCCAAGAATATTTTTGTCATCCGCCGACTTAGTTTGTATTTCATGTTGTATGTTTCTAAATATTATCAATATCATCAAACGACAAAAAAATAAACGTAAACATTTACAAATCTACGATAGGGTTTTTCTATTTTGTTTTCATTAAGATTCATATTTTTTTTCAATAAACTATAACATACTGAATTTGAAACTTGCCTTTAGATTTGTTTTTTGTGCAAAGACTTGAAACAAATATACATGAATTTATCTTAACAAACTTCATTCAAGTTTTTTTGTTTCATTTCTTTTTTATCGTCAAGAAATTTCATTTAACTATCCTACTATATTGACTAAGAAGTACACAAATAAAAATAACCTTATAAATTGTAAGAATTTACATTGAAATGTCAATAAAAAATTTTTAAAATGAAAAAAAAATATTGAGGATAGTAAATGTAATTAAACAAATAATCAAACAAATTAAATATATAAAATCACAAGATAATCTATAAACTATAAATAAAATCTCAAGATAATTAAACAAATATATAGTTTGTTTGGATATACATACCCATATATGGGTACATAAATATTCAATTAGATTATAACAAAATTAATTATTATAAATTTATGTCAAATAAAAAGTTCAGAATAGCTTATAAGTTATAACCCAATAAAACAACAACAAAAAATGAAAATAAAAATGACAAAGCTACCAATTAGAAACAGTTTCAAGGAATATATTACCAAAATATTCATACTTTTAATTTTGACAAATACTTTTTATTCATACGGACAATTGCAAGGAAAATGTTCAAATGGACCATGCGTGTTTACTCAAAACGTCGTTTATTATGGTTTCCAAATCTCTATATAAACCATCTTCACGAACCCCAAAATCATAACAACAACAACAACAAAGCTAAATAAACAATCCTCAACTTATAAAAAATGAGTTTCACTAACTATTCTCGTTTCCTAATAGTTTTTGTAGCTCTCGTAGGTACTCTTGTTCTTCCTACAAAGGCTCAAGACAGTCCACAAGACTATCTAAGGGTTCATAACCAGGCACGAGCAGCGGTAGGCGTAGGCGCCATGCAATGGGACGAGACGGTTGCAGCCTACGCTAGGAACTACGCAAACCAACTAAGAGGCAGCTGCAGACTCGTACACTCGGGTGGGCCTTATGGGGAGAACTTGGCCTGGGGTAGTGGCGACTTGTCTGGTGTCTCGGCCGTGAACATGTGGGTTAACGAGAGGGTTAACTACAACTACGCTGCGAACACGTGCAATGGAGTTTGCGGTCATTACACTCAAGTTGTTTGGAGAAACTCAGTGAGACTTGGATGTGGTAAAGCGAGGTGTGATAATGGTGGAACCATCATCAGTTGCAATTATAGTCCTCGTGGGAACTATGTTGGCCAGAAGCCTTACTAATGTGTGATCATGCATATACACATATATAGTAACACACGTACATATAAAGGACGTGTCTATATATATATTTCAATAAGAAGCATCTTATGTAGGATGTGTATCAATATTTATTAAGTAATAAAAGCTGAACTATCCATTTATCTTTCATCCGTATAACGATATGCTTCTCTCTTCTCTGTTATATGGATGATGATTAGCTATTTTCTAAATTAATTTGGATCAATAATTTAACTCTTTTAAAAGTTACTAATTAGAACACTAGAATGTAACCATTTTGAAACCATCAGGCTTAGATAATTTGGCACTCTCGCTCCATATTAACACTTTGATATCTTGCAAAACCTTCCTAAACCTAAAGAAGGATCTAAGCTTTTTCTATGCTCCATCAGTTTGTCATCTAGTTCTTGGTCTATCTTCCATCAAACGGGTTCCTTTGTGGATTAAGCAAAAGGGATTTGAGAATCCTTCCTTCTAAAACCAAAAACAAATTAATACTTAGACCAACTCATTATTCCTAGTTTTTCAAATATACCAATTTAACCAAAGAAACTCTCTTTTCCATTTTCATAAAATAACATAATAATTTGGTTAGTGCCAAAAGATGTATTTCTAATTTTGTAAAGGCTGAGAGGATACCAAAGCTGGTACAAGAACATTATGGTTACACATGACTAGTGATTTTTTTTCTCTAAACAAAGTTCATGATCAATAATCTAAACAAAATAAATCATTATTAAAACAATTAACAGAAAAACTTGTAATTAGCACATTTTATTATATTTAATTGCATCTTATATTTTTCTAACGAATATATACACTACATCCAAATGCAATTAGTCGAAAGACAAGTCAATAAAACGAGTAACATTTGGCTGTGGAAATTAAATGGATATTGTACATGAGTCTTAATCATGGAAGCAACATGTAAATTGGCCACAATTCATTTTTTTTTTTTTGTCTTTCTTTCAATAACTATATTGTGCATTATATAGATAAGATGTGTACCCCTAAAAAACAAAAGGATATGATTTGAAAAATAGCATAGAGCAGCCATATATATAATCAAGAAGGGTAGAACTAGGAGCACAATATAATTATAAAACTGACTCCCATTGCTAACTACTAGCCTATTACAACCCTTAGCTAGACTTGTCTTACTTACCATTGATTTTTTAACACTTGAATTATTAATTATTGCAAATTATGAGAACTGTTACAATGAAGATTTTACTACAAACAATTCTATCCGACCCAATTAGATTCACCATAGATTATACTTCCTCCTCGGACGGACAATACTTCCTTCTTTATGCATAGAATCACGACGAACAGCTCTAATTGTGCATCGTTGAAGATCTCATGTAAGTTTGTCTTCTTTTTATCCGTAAATTAATTAATAAATCACATTATCTTGGCGTCGAACCCCATACTTATAAGTGTATAAGCCTAAGTGTTCCAGTCGGGATATATCTTGTTTATAGTTATCACATATATTTTATGTTTACTCTTTAGTTAGATATATACTTTGTAAACATGTATAAATACTTTGGCCTAGAGGTCTTCATGAATAAGATCGACAAATATTAAACCCTTGAGTCTAGTTTGTTAATTAATCAACCCTTGATCAACCATTCGACTAAGTTATCATTGATTTTGTCTTGAACGAACAAGTTTCTAGACTTCTACTAGTTTTAAGAATTGTCATATATATTTATGAGAATCTTATTCCAAAAGCAAACTTTGATTATTCTATGCCACTGTGCTCTCGAAGTCTTTTGTTTTTAGTTAACAAGTCAAGAAAATGGCTTTGTTTTTTTCTTGGAAGAAATTATAAAAAGGGTAATGTTATAATTCCAAATCAAAATGATGTTCTTAGGTCCCGGCCCTATTGATAACTAAGTATTAAAAGCTTAATTGACCAGAAAAACTAAACAAACTAAAATAAAATTTTAGAGTAACTCTTAAAGGGAACTTTTTTTTTTTTAAAGAGAAACAAATAATCATCAAATGGCTCTGAAGCCAAACAGGCTATTATGTATTGACTCTTTTACATCAATATAATTATACTATTTGAGGGGGAAAAAAAATCATCAAATGGCCAAATTATAATATTAAAATATCCTATATCGTTAATAGCATGAATTCTTGGATAATATATATTAGATGTGGGAATCCTTTTTATTTAAGCTAAGTTTTAAGATTAGTTGGCCACATTCAGCCATACATATATCAGAATGCCGAAAAATATATATACCAAATAATTAATTACCTGATCATAACTTTGAATCTTATCTTCAGTACTAGTTTCATTTTTGGTTGCCAAAAAAACAAAAAACAAAAACAAAATCTCGAGCTTTAGTGAAATGTAAGATTTCTCACAATGCAACCTAACCCAAAAAGCAGATTTTGATTATTCAACTTACCATGCAACCTTATCATGTGATGATGTGCTCTGTGCTTAGTCCCATGCCAATCCAATATGATTTGGGTCATGTTACTATCTTGTGGGCACGACAAGGAAGTTGGAAAACATTTCAATATGTATTTTTACTACACTTAATAACAGTAAGTTAGAAAGTAACTTAGAGAATGAAATTGAACAATTTTATATAATAATACAGAAAAAAATAATAACTAATTTTATTGAATCTTCAAAAAACATTAATAGATCCAAAAGAAAAAAGAGAATTTTGAGAAATGCCCCTTTTGGTGTATCTCTTTTTAAAAGTACCCCTATTTTCTATCCATTTTCAAAAATACCCTTTTTCAAATATGAAAAATTAAAAACTTTTATATGGTTGATAATGTACATCAAGATCATCATTACTACTGGGAGACTAAATCAAAATATTTATAATGTTTTAAAAAGTTCTAAACGGCATTTATAAGGTTTTTATAAGGTTTTTAAAAGGTTTACAAAGTTTTTATAAGGTTTTTCAATGATTTTTAAAAGGTTTTTAAAGGTATTTATACGGTATTTATGAAATATATATGTAAATTTACATACATATAAAGATAATTTGTGTCTATAAATATAAGTTTACACATATATTTTTGATAAATTTCAAAATTTATAGTGATTTTTTGATAATATTAGAAAAAGGGGTATTTAAAAAATTGGTATTGGAAAAGGGGTATTTTTGAAATTTCCCCAAAAACAATTATGTGGACACAATCTATATATATAAAATCATCCACAACTATATCCACTAATATGATTTTCAATTTGGTACTTTATTTTCTTACCAAAATTCATTGCATTTCTTTTGTTGAATTTTCTTGTATCTACATATTTAATAGGTAGTGTTCCTCTCTAGACCAAAAAGAAGACTTTTTGGAAAATTACTAAATTTAGTCTAGACATAAGGATTTATTTTACGAATAAATGTAAATAATATTTTTTTATATTATAAATTGTTATAGTGCTGTAGTGGTAATTTTTGTTTTTTTATATGAATTCCACTTGAATATACTATCAAAATTTGTTTAGCTAGAACCATTAATTTAAAATAATAATATTAATTTGATAAGAAATGTTTTTTTTATATATATTTTTGGAGAAAATATAATTCAATACTTAATTAGGGTACACTATACAGAGGGCTTCTTTTGCCAAGTTTATAGCTATTCTTGAATGAGCACTATATTTTATACTTAAAGAAAAATTTATTTATATCGTATAAAATATAGCGCTCATACAAAAATAACTATAAACTTATTTAATTCTTTTTTCTGTCAAAGTACTTATGTGATATTTTAAAAAAGATATTCTCTGTATAAGGTACCTTGGAGGAGAGTTGCTACCAACGAGGAAAATTGTGGAAAGAGCTTTCCATCAGTAGACTCTTCATTAGGCAAAACTTGCATCTTTACTGAGTTACTTCATCAGTATAACTAACTAAACGTCAATGCCATAACTTAGTTCTATAACTCTAAACTAGTCAATCCATAATTAAACCTTGAGCCTAAAATGATTAATCAAGATATATTAACATTTTTAGCGTACTATATAATTATTTATATTTTTATTATGATTCGAAAATAACTTTTAACTTAAGGTATATAAGTTTTTAGAAATATACAAAACTAACAAAGAAACAAATGAATGACATTAAAAAAAAAAGTCATTTCATTTTCTTTTTGTCATCAATAAAAGAAATTAGCTCAAAAGAGTCAATTTGGAGGACAATTGTTTACATATTTGACACTGTGCGGAATGGGACAAACATTTCGCGCCAAAGAATCCGCTTTTTCATTCAAGTTTCGGGAAATAAAAGATAAACAGAAGTTAGAGAATTCTTCCCTATCATCAGTATTATCATCTAGATAATTAAACAGAGAAAACCGGCCACTCGGACAGAGAAGACACTATCTTCACCAAGTCTGAACAGTCAGTAAGGAACATGACATCTCTGTGCTTGTGCCCAATCATGCATTTCATCGCCTACACCAAGGCTTCTACTTCAGCATGAAGTCATTTCATTTTATAAAACATAATACGAGTTTTTTTTTATAACAATGTCATAGTTACCACCAATAAGAAACAATTACAGGAAATATTAATTATGAAAGATTCATATACACAAGGGCAATTCTCATAAATACTACTAGTGTGATTTTTTTTTTCAAAAATATCATTATTAAAAAATAAACCCTAAATCCAAAATTAAATTTTAACATTCAAAACTTGACCCTAAATCCTAAATACTAAACCCTACCCTTCCCTCCTAAAAACTAACCCTAAATCTAAAATATTCAATCAAAATCGAAGAAAATAAATTCCACACCATTGAAAATCAATTTTTATGTTTGTGATATTAAAAACTAAAACTTTTGTGGTATGAAAGAATAAATTTATCGTGGTACTTTTGAAAAAAAAAGTTATTGTGGTATTTTGAGGAATTTCTTATATGCCCAAAGTTGACAATTATTCTTTATTATTCTTTAGTTTAATCTTTATGAGTTATGACCATATATTTACCAAAACTTTGTTATTTTTATGGCCTAACAAATAGTGAGGTAGTTTTCAAATCTCTATATAAACCATGTTTACTCCATAATCACAACACACAAACAAAGCTTGGGAATAGTCATTATATCAACTAATAAAAAATGAAAGTCATCGACTATTCTCGCATTCTAATAATCTTGGCAGCTCTTGTAGGTGTTCTTCTTGTTCCATCAAAGGCTCAAGACAGCCTCCAAGACTATGTAAATGCTCACAACCAAGCACGTTCACAGGTAGGCGTAGGACCGATGCAGTGGAACGAGAAACTTGTAACCTACGCTCGGAATCACATAGACACACTAAAAGGCGACTGCAGACTCGTACACTCCAATGGTCGTTATGGGGAAAACTTAGCCAAGAGTTATGGTGACTTGTCTGGTGTCACTGCCGTGAACTTGTGGGTTAACGAGAAGGCTAACTACAACTACGATACCAACACATGCAATGGAGTTTGCGGTCACTACACTCAAGTTGTTTGGAGAAACTCAGTGAGACTTGGATGTGCTAAAGTGATGTGTAACAATGGTGGAACCATCATTAGTTGCAACTATGATCCTCCAGGGAACTATGTGAACCAGAAGCCTTACTAATGTGTGAAGTGTGATAAGAGTATTGGTAATTATAATAATCCTTTTGGTTCATATTATAATATATTTATAAAATAATACAATGAGGTTATGCCTCTTGGTTTATGTCAATACTATATTATACTATTAAGAAATTAAAAAAGCCTACTAATTTTATTTGAAAAAGTATATCAGATGAGTCTATTTCACTGAAAAATAATTCTGGTAACATTTTATATTTTAATTAAATAGTTTAAACCTAAGAAAGGTTGCTCACTAAAGAAAAACATTAACAGAAAAATAGTCTATTATATTATGTTAGTTGAACATTTGGACAGAGCCTACATCATCGAAGCCAACCTTGAACAATCCGTCTAAAAAGTTTGGCAATCGATCATAAATGTCAAATTAAATATAAAAATGTTGACATCTTACACCCATCAATAGTATTATTTTTATAACAAATAATTACATCAAGCCTTTCCAATGACTAGATGAAAAATACTATCTTTTGTCTTTTAGATTTATTATTAATTTCCTTATTAATTGTATAATTTCCTAATCCTTTATGTTTTCAAGAAAGTAGGGTAATACTTTTTTCTTATAAAATATTATAAGATATTGATAAAGTACATATGTAAAATGAAATTGAAAATAGAGGTTGGATTAAGGAAATATCTATTTTCTTTGATAATTTTTTAGAAATATTTAACAAATTTAATATTATTTATTAAATATTCTCCCATGAACACTTATCTTATCATATAAACCTTAGTTTTCAAAGTCAGCCATTAACAAGATCGTGACACGTGTCAATTATAAATGATAAGATATTGACACGTGTCATAACTAATTTTGTTAATATTTGGATAAAATAGAAATATTATTAACTATCGAAAAAATAAATATATAAAATAAATATTATAAAGAATTACATATTAAAAATTTTTTTATAAAATTAAACAAATAACCTAATTTCAGTTATGTCAATTTGGTTTATTAATAAGATAGGGATTTAAAATTTAGAATTAACAAGAATATATGGCGGTTTTTGTTTATAGAAGAGGATTAAGGTTTAAACTTTAATTTTACAATTAAATCAGGTTATTTGTTGATTTGGGTATATAAATGATAAATAAGAATTATGGTTTATCTTTATAAATTAAAATTATGGTTTAAGTTTAACAATTAAACGAGATTATATGTCGAAACTTGGTTTTAGAATTTACTAACTCACGTGATCATGATAAGTGTCAAGTAAAACATAAGATGTCGCAACATGTTATATCTAATTTTGTTAATATTAAGATAAAAATAGAATTTTTAAACAACATTAAAAAATAAATTATATAAAATAATTATAAAAAATTAAATACAATTTTTGTGAAATACCCTTTTTATGTACCCCTTTTCAAAAATACCTCCTTTATCTATCCATTTTCAAAAATATACATGTTTAAATATGAAAAATTATAAAGTTTTATATGGTTTATAAGGTACTTCTATATAATAACTACTACTTGGAAATTTGATACAAATATTTTATAATGTTTTCAAAGATTTTAAATCGTTTTTACAAGTTTTATAAGGTTTTTAAGTGGTTTTTAAAAGGGTTTATAAGGTTTTTAAAAGGTTAAAAGGTATTTATAAGTTATTTTACGCTATTTATGAAAGATATATAAAAATTTAGACATATATAAAGATAATTTGTGTGTATATTTATAAGTTTACACACATATTTGGATAAATTTCAACATTTATAGTGGTTTTTTTTTTAGTTTGAAATAGGGGTATTTTTAAAAAGCGGTATGGAAAAAGGGTATTTTTGATAAATTAAAAAGTAAAAAAATTGATATTTATAAAAAAAAATGTGTAAGCTTATATATTAAGACACAAATTATCTTTCTATGTGTGTAAATTTTAAAAACCATATAAATACCTTTTAAAAACCTTTTAAAAATTTTAGAAAAAAATTATTTAAAAAACATATAAAAACTTTGTAAACCTTATAAAAACCTTATAAAAGTCTTATAAATGCTGTTTAGAACCTTTTTAAAAATTTATAAATATTTGTATTGAGTCTCCCAATAGTAATGATGATCTAGATGTACCTTATAAGCTATATAAAATTTTACAATTTTTCATATTTGAAAAGGGATATTTTTAAAATGGATAGAAAATTGGTGTATTTTTAAAAAGGGGTATACCAAAAGGGGTATTTCTCAAAAAGACTATGTAAATGCTCACAACCAGGCACGTTCACAGGTAGGCATAGGACCGTTGCAGTGGAACGAGGAACTTGTAATCTATGCTCGGAATTACATAAACAAAAGGCGACTGCAGACTCGTACACTCCAATGGTCGTTACGGGGAGAACTTAGCCAAGAGTAGCCGTGACTTGTTCGGCGTCACTGCCGTGAACTTGTGGGTCATTTAGAAATGTTTGGTCTCATACTAAACTTTTGAACACAAAAAAGAGAAAATATGAGATAGTCTATATCAAAAATATTATTTTATAATAAGAAACATTATCATAAGATGGAATTAAACAACCTCATAAAGAATTTTTTTGCTTTGATTTTTTTTTCTTTTTTTTTAATATTTCAAAAGGCGTATGATATAAATATTTGAAAATTTTAATGTTAATTTTTAATATACCCCCTTTTTATAATGTACTAGATCTTTATATTTTTATATATTTTACATTTTAAATCAAAGTTTTGATATGTTATATCAGTTATAGTTAGTCTCACCGTCTGTTATAATAATCGTAACTCATTCTATCATATAACACACTACGGTTAACTCGTCGTTTGTAATAAGTATTTTAAATATATTTGTTTGAAAATATCAAATTATTGTATTTACAAATATATTTTAAATATACATAAATTTATTGTTTTTATCTAAGCATTTTATGATATTTATAAAAAATAGTAAGTTAAATTATTTTTAAATGTTCCAAATTAAAAGATTTTAAAATTTTATTTTAGTATATAAAATTTTATTAAAATTCTGACCAGTTACAATTTTTTTCTCTATAAGTTGAACAATTTATATTCGTTCTTCAAAAATTCAATCATGGCATATGCAGAAAAAAATCTACATTTTTTATTGTATATGAATGATAGAATGAGTTATTTGTTGCACACCAATATAATCATATGATAAGTTAGATATCAAATCTTCTATGTTTATTTTGATTGGTCTAAACTTTTTAAAAAAATTAATAATGTATTTTCTTTTTATAATTTAATTAAATTGAATAAATGAGTATTTCACATTTTTTTCCTTATTTATTATTATTAATTCATTCCTTAAAACCTATATTTGTAATGAAAATTGAATGTAATTAGTATCATTAGTGATGTTTATTTTATAATGTACTTCTTTTTATTAAAACTAAAAAAACAAAAAAAAAAAACCGAAAACCCTAAGTTTGTAAAGAGACGGCGCGTGTGATGTGATGAAGAATCTTCCAAGTGAATTGATCGAAGAGATACTCTCTTGGGTGCCACCTAAAGTTCTTGTCCGATTCAGAGCCGTATATCTAAGCAATGGAACACTCTTTTCGACGACAAGAGGTTCTTGAACAACCACAAGATGACGTTTAGGTTCATCATACGCAAGGTTTATTCGGTAAGCATCGATCCTGTGATAGTGGTACGTGAGTTACCCTTAGACACACCCGGTTTAGAATCTTCAGAACTTCGAAAATTGATTGATTGCAATGACCTGTTGCTATGTGGCAAGGAGAACGGAGCCGTTGTTTGGAACCCTTGGTTAGGGCAAAGTAGATGGATAAAACATCCTTGTATGTCATTCTACAGTATGGTATACGACTATAAGAAATACAAAATGGTTGCTTTTACCCTTGGGAGTGACTTATGGAAAACCTATGACTTTTCATCCGATGTTTGGATAGACCTTGGTAATGATAGTATATGTGATGATGATATCACAAACATATTTGATAGTGTTGTATCCTTGAATGGGATTTTGTATTGTGTTTGTTTTAGTGAAGAGCCGGATCCCTTGTCCTACGAAATTAGTAAATTCGATTTTTCGAGGAGATTATTCGAATATTTTTGTAATCTACCTTGTGGGGATGCCCTGGCCCTTAGGGTCTTTAGGGAGATCAGTTTTCGTTGCTAAATCAATGCAGGGTAACAAAGAAGATTAAGATTTGGGTTACTGAGGATAAGATTGAGAATGGTGGTGATGTGGTTTGGATGAATTACATGACCTTTTCAAGTCCTAACTTGCCGGATTTAGCAGAGACCATATACGACTCTCAGCCAAGTTACTTCATCGAAGATAAAAGGCTTGTGGTGTGCTCTAACGACAAGAGAGGTCACACTTGGATCTATATATTGGGGGAAAATAAGTTGATCAGTAAAACTCCTATATTAGATAATGTGGTTGATCCTTGGCCTTTGCATCGTACCTTTTTTCCTAGTTTGGTACGGGTTCCTGCTTGAGGGTGGAGGAGAAGAACTGGTAGAATTACAAATTTAGTTTAGTTTACATGTTCGCTTCTTGTTTGGTACGTTAAAGTGAAAACTAAAAATTCGATTTGAATTTTTTGGTGTTTTTATTCACTACCATCTTCTATATATGCTTAAACTAGAGATTTTACTATTTTTCAATCTCTTTTTTTGTTTGGACAAATAATTTCTTACAAATTTTGTATTTAAATCAAAACTAGATTGAATGTTCCCCAACTATGATTGAGGTCAAATTCTCCATCTTAGCTAATATGATATTCAATGGATTGAGATCATTGGTAGCAGCTGTTCGCTATAATGATTGACAAATGGATCCGCAATAAGATCAACTCGACCTACAACTAAACCTACAACTAATAATTGTATACAAATGGCTACTAAACCTACAACTAATAATTGTATACAAATGGCAATGCTACATATGTGTTGGTATACAGCAACCAATGGATCTGTCAATGTCATATCATATATAATACAACAATTAAATGTTTGTCGTTATATAAAGTTGTAAACTAATTAACAGTTTTCAAGAATCAGTTGGGTCAGTTGGTAACAACTTGCACGGTGGGAAGGTTGTTAAAGAGTGAGGACCTGGGTTCGAGTAACGCCAGACGCACC